AATATAATAAGCCGTAGCTCGACACCAAGGTTACCAAACAGAATAAAAGCGCACTTATGGTTAGTGGTAGATTGTGCGTGGCATGAACCTCACCAAAACGCAGGTGTTTCGATTTTAAGACGTATCGCCACGAACTTCTTGCTTGAAAGCCCACGCATGGCGACAGGTCGTGGTGGGGAACGAATATGCATATTTCAGAGAAATGCAGTACGGCAGAATTATACTTCCTTTGTCCTCTAGCCTGTATAGAGAACCTGTTTTTTCGTAGAACCCTAAAGATCAGATTCAAGTGCGAGTTAGGGATCAATGAATAAGGAATTGAACTTGGGCCAAACGAAACAGGCATCAAGGTGATAGAAATTGTATACGCTCCCGAAGTGCGAGCAGCCTGTATCTCCAGTAGCCTCATGCTGAAGCTCCCAGACGGGGATGCGAGGAGGAATTTCATATACTTGTTTTTGAGAGAGGAGTTTTTTTCTCCCCAGTATTCCTTTTTCTAAGATCCCGAATTTTTTGTGGCACTCGCATAGAAGAAAAGGTATTCAGGGGAATCAAAAAACCAAATCAAGGTAGTTTTGTATTCGCTCCTAACTGGGGAAACACTATAGTCTCAGCTCCCTTTGTCAGATTAGAACACGCTACACAAAATTAAGAAGATCAGGTTTGTTCGATGTAATCTCGTAGGATTTTAATGCCTCTCCTGCCGGGGAACAGATTCGAGAGTGAAAGCTGGCAACTTCCGGAGAAAAAGTTGGACCGGTTCCAATTGTAAGAAATCATTGCCTAGATGGCTATTAGTTTACCAATCGAGCAGAACAATTACTTTTTTAGAGATGACCTAAACCCAATACAGGTATTTCGATAGCACCAAAGCGGGACGACCGTAAAAGTAATTAGATGGATTGAATAGTGGAAGACCGAGGACGGTTACCTGCTGTTCCTCTTTTCTTGGAGTAGCGTTAAGCCACTCAGGCAACGATTACAGCCCAGCAGCTTTTCAGAATTTGGCGTGGTCATTTTTCTCTTCGGGGAAGAAATGCCACCACCACAATGACACATCCAATAAGGATCGTCCAGCTGAGTTGGCTAAACGTATTGCACTTGGCCGACAGCTTTTTCTTCAGCTCTTTCTTCTTCTTCTTCCTCTTCGTCTTCTTTGTCTGTCCAGTGCGCAAACGTTGCGATAGCCGGCAGTAATCAACGTATGGCGTTTCGTTTCAAGGGCATTCTGGGAAGTTTTAGATCGTCCGTGTTCTTTTTCCATTAACAAAAACCAAACGAACCTTTTCAGTGGACATTCACCTTTTTCGACCACGGAATCAAATTTCACCTTGGATTTCTGACTTAATCAACTTTGATCAAATTAGAAATTAGGTCCTCACGCTACAGTATCTGCCCTAATTTCAGGGATTCGGTTTCTGATGCCGACTGTGTAATGATGGGTGATAACAAGCTGGATCATCGGTTTACCGTGAAGCACGACGTGGTTGCGGTGTTCGTCGACAAAGGGAGGTTCGTTCTGCAGAAGCTAATTTCTCTCTTTTTGAAGTGTATTTCACGGGGGCCTCCCAAAAACTCAGGTACCTCACCAGGGTTATATTTCGACCTCTTGGCTTTCGTCAGAGCCTGGCAAGTCGACTAACAGTTGAGACTGATTGTCTCATGGGGTCAAGCAGTCCTAAAGATAGTTTCTCTAGAATAGTAACAACTGGTGGTCGCCCATAAAGGGTGCTACAAGACCTGCTGAGGTATTTGTCGCTATGGCGCAAAATCGGCCATCAAAAAAAGTGGATCTCTACGCGAATGAACAAACCTATCGCCACTCAACGACCTCCGTCGGAAATCAAAACTCACAGAGGTCGGGAAAGGATGTAAGGTCACGGGTTATGGTCTTTGCACAAATTTGGGGTCTCTGGGGACAATTTTTTGCTCTTCATATAGACGGTTATAATGGCTGTAGACGGTTTGCAAATTGACCAGCTCGTTTCGCAATTCGTCTATGTATAGATACTAAAGCCTGCTTAACACCACTGGTTGAGAACAAACTAGTTTAGGAAATTTTCCGTTAACCTCGTTGAATGGCAAACGGGAACACCTCGCCTTTCCTATTTTTAAGGCCGTTCTAGCCGCTCCCTGGTGTGTCTGCGATGAGGCTGCCCGTGTTATTCATGCCTCGTAGAGATAGCCCTAATAACTCGATAGACGCCTGAAATTGCCTAATCTCGCGCTCAGCTCGCAGATTAGCTGTCTTAAAATGGCGTAGTATGGATGACAAATTAGTCAAAAAAATCAACTGTCAAACAGCGAAATGTCGAAATTAATTTTGTTAGGCTTACCAAAATCAAATGGATGCACCCAGCGTGGCTTCAGCAGGGGATATGGGGTGGGGATTCCCAGAGGCACATTCCATTGCCGCTCGATGTGTGTCCCTAATACTATGAGCATTATCTAAGGGCTAAAAAATAACAGAAGTTTGTCAAACACCCATGAGTTTAAAAAAAACCAACCCTGCAGTGTCCCCCCTACCCTAAACTATCCATAGTGTGGTTGGTTCTCCCATGTTGCAGCATTGTCTGCCCTTTGAGCATAGGCATAGTTCAGGATTCAGTTTTTTCTTTTTTTTTTTCTTCTCCGCTTCAATACGGGCTGAGAGCCGGTCGCTTATGCATCTTACTTGAACGATGCATTTTATCAGAGTGTCGATGATGGCTACATCGATTCTGATCCTTAGCGGCTCGTGGGCAGAGCACAAGTGAAGTGGCTACCCCCCAATTCTTCCGTACCGGCTTCTAGTTCCAAACAGATAATTTTGCATTCTCAAAAATTAAAAAAATCTGTATATCCTTGATTACTTCTTCTTCGATGTTTACACATGCACTATGAATATTGAGCCTTAGTTATTGGAGTTTCAAAAAGATTGCTATCCGAGTTATTTTCTGAGAAAGAAAAAGCCTGTAGATGAGTATGTGTTGGAGATCACATGTCAACCTCTTTCATGTACGCAGATTATCAGGAAGCTATCAACTTGAATTTTCTTATGGAGTCTGCCATACTTGAATGACATTCACCCCATCAACCCTAACCATGGCAAAAACATGGAGGAGGTGGCATAGTGTTGTAAGGTTTATTGTTAAGCGCGAACGACTTGGGCTTGGAAATTCTTGAATGGTGTAGATTGGTAGAATATGATCTACAGATTTGTTTCCAGGTGAACGGTGTCGTCATTATCGCAACTGTGATTGTTTCCTTCCATCCGGTTCGTTCCTTGCAATCAGTTTGTATTTAATTATCTATTTATTTATTTATTTATTTGTTTATTTGTTTCTACCGCTGCAAAGGCAGACGCAAGAATCCAACCGAGAGCGTCAATAAAACTTGCTACAGTCTCTCTACTAACCTATAGCTCAAAAATGTCCTTCTCGAGGATCAAATCGATACAGTACAGTTCTACTACACTATAGCTCAAGAATTCCTTCTTTGCAAGGCGTTATCAGCCCAAACTAATGCGTTCCTTTACAGATCTTCATTACCAAAGTGGATCGAGCATATCGACTGAGCTGCTTCTATGTGGAGGGCACCAAGAAGGTTCAACAGCAACTCGACATCGCGTCAGTGATCGCGGATTTGTCCCGTTTTAGTGGTGTCTAGCTGTCGGGACCGGATTTGTGAATTTCAAACAGCCTAGCCGCTATCAAGTGCACTAGAAAGCCTCGACCAATACTTGAAATTCACTCATTGCGCAACACATTTCAATGACATTTCCCGTCGCGCTATGTCTGGCCCTAGCAAGGACATGTAGCTGGCTGTATTAACACAAGTAAGTGCAAATATACTAACTGGCTGAGCAAATGCGCGAGGCCAAGTGAAACGCAGCCATCCGTTAGTCGAAACCAGTTCCCGTTGTTCTTCAACGCTGATGCTTATTTTCGCTGATGCGTTGCACGCGATTGAGTTCAACAAAAAACGTCTACCATAACATAATTGGGCATTACTAGCATTCTAACCCTGTATCATTAGAGACCTACCACAAAACCGCCAAGGACAAACAGTTAACATCAATTGGTTCGGGAATCGATTTTATCCTATGAAAGGAAAAAAACCATACTATATGGATATATTTCAGAGCGCTCACTACTCAAGTCGTGGAAGGCCAAACGCAGTTGCCGGTTTGCAGGTACGTAATTGTAGGCCTGTATTGGTATTGCACCTTGAAAACCATTGAATTATGTTTGTTGAACTGGCCCACTCACCATTCTCCTGTACGGATTTCTAGCTTTCTTCAAGGTATGGGAGTGGAGGGAGAGGGGGATTCCGAGGGATCGTTTTGGTTGCGTCGGCCCTAGACGCACCCTTTTCATCCGAATCCACCAATATTTAAGAAAGGATTGGAATTAGTTGATTTTGAGAGGGAAGTGGCAAAACGATTGGTAACGAACTAAGCTGGTCCACCTCGGTCATCCCAAAGAAGACCAATTTAGCATAGGTTAGGGAGGAGTCAAGGACCTGAACAGCAATTTTTTCCTCACCAGCGGCCTTCACTGGACCAACTTATCACCAGACCTTTTCGTAGAGTCGAATTTCTTCATTATATAACTGACAACTTGTCTATTGATTCGCCCGTCTCCTGGTATACCTCTAGATGGAAGGAACTTTGGACCTCGTAAAAACAAGACAACTAGATTCATAATGAAGGAGCTTAGGTCGTTTGGCGTTCTTTTGTGATAACCGTGGCATTACCTGCAATTGGATAATGGTGCGTGTAAGAGGGTGGAACAGATGAAAAGTATCAAGATAGAAGGCTGGGTTGCCCGATAGGCGACGAACACTGGATTAAAATCCCGTGGTAAGAGAAACAAACTTGACCACGACCGTGGTACGTAACCACAACACCACGCAGATTGCTATTCCAACATAATTCCTCCCAGCATCGCTAATCATAGAGATCGAATTAGGAGTTTAGGTGAAGATAGGCGTTCATGTTGGCCGATTGAATGTTGCATATCAATCGAACGTGGTGTGTTGTCGGGGACAAACTGGCCAAATTTTGATTTAAATATCTTTTTCGATCTTTTTGTTCCATTCATCCGGCATAGTACCCTCCATCAATATCTACAACCTATTGCCAGCACACTAGAAGCTGTTCGATACCTCCTCTTATAGGACTCTACTGAGTTCTGATCGAAGGAAGATCAGATGTCGATTTTGACATCATCATAGTTAGGAGAATTTGTTCGCTAGTGGTGGCTTGGAAGAGAAAGCAAGTTGGCGCTCCCTTGGCGAGGCAGAGAGTTACACTAAGGGGACAGCGAAGAGCTCTCCTGCGAGAGTCCCAAAGTTTTTCTAGATTTTCTTAGTAAGAGGTGATTCAACGGTGCCATAGAAAAGCAAAGTTTATTTTGCTTTTCTTTTGTATCAGAAGCGTTGCAATCTAGTTGTGGACGCTTGACACCGCCTGACTGTGATATATTAACGTAGAGCTTTCCACAGCTCAACTCCTCTCGTGTTTCACCGAAAGCCCGAGAAGGTCTTGCTTGGATGAGGTTGAATTAGTAGTAAGAACTCCCAAAACGTTTGAGGAGGACTATCGCCGCTTTGGCAAATGTGATGGATGGTCAATCGAAGAATCCATAGTAAGTCGACTTGAACATGAACGGTGTCAGATCGTGTTTGGAGCTGAATCGGGCTCAAGGCATGTGGGATCCAAACTCTACATTTTCGGATCTTCACAAGTCTTTGGAGATGCCACAGTGCTGTCTCCTTGTCGCATCGAATTGCTCTGGCAAATGATCGATAGTCTATCCAGATCCCTTTTCAACAGCGTCAGGTAGAGCATCGTGATTGCCAGTCACAGGGTGGTTGGAGTGTGGATCATCTTCAAATAAAAAAGTCAACGCTGAGCAGAGTGAAGCGCCGTGCACCGTGAATTGAGAGAGCGTGCCCTCGCCCATCTTCTGGCTAATCCTTGGTGTAGCATGACTTGCGGAACATTCCAAGCAGTACTCGTAAAAATTAAGGGCACGAAGAGCTTTTCGCGAAATCGGTGTAATATCCATAACAAGTAGCGAGACAACGAGCTGGACGGTTGGCTGAAATTGCAAAGGTGGATGCTACGTCAACAAACATGTTGCGGAATTTTCGGAGTTCTCACAAAAATTCTCTAGCATTGAAATGTAATTTGTTGCAAGACTTATGGACAAACCTAATAAATAGGACCCTGTGCATAACTTTGCCCATGCCCCTTCATCCCACAAGACACTGGCCTTAAAAAATGGAACTGAGCCGAGCTGAGAGTGTTTTGTAGCGCGTGCAGGAAAGGGATACTGTCTGTTCAATATCTACTACCAGGACAAAATACTGGTGAGACAAAAATTTCTGGAATGCGCCACGTATTCTTGTAAACTTTTACAGGCGCTCATGTCTTTGGAAGGGGAGGACATTCAAAGCAGGACCTATGGCAAGGTGACACTAGGGCTAAGCTCAGGAGAGTGGAAAAACGCTGGGGAGATTACAATCTTCTCACATATTCCCCAGAGTCCTTCCCCTCCCTGAGCTCAGTCCAAAGCACTGTCAGTGGCTCACCCACTTCGATGCCCCCCCGCCCTCCTTACGAAATGAGCGAACTTTCACGTATGCGTATATGCATTCAAAGCGACTTGCAAAGACTTAATGGGTCATTGATCAACCTTGCCACGTGTGTGCACCTGCTGATGGTTTGACTGAGGTCTACTATAATGTAACTAGCTCACAACTATAATAGTTATCATCGAGGGGTCAATATTGAGGTTGCAAGCAGGGTCAACCGTCCGTTGGACAAAGTCCAACGAGGGGGTGGGGGAGGTCGTATTTAGCGAGTGCGAAGTGTTTGCGAAAATTTTGCGTTTCACATTCGATAGTACCTGCCTCCCCTCCCCCGCTCGACGGCAATTTTGGAGGGAAAAGTGGGCGGAGTTGGGCTGTGTCGACTGGTCTCAGAATCAAATACTATAGAATCGCTCCCATGATGGCGATGGCAGGCGAGGGTGGTGGAGGATGGTCGTGAACCCTGAGGGGGGGTCGTATCGAGGCCCTCTAGAAGGGAGGGGGGTCGTAAATTTTTCGAAATTGGTCCAACGTGATGGTTGACCCTGGTTGCAAGTTGGTATCCTTAAAGCCGCATCCTTTCTTTAGTGATTTGAAAATATCAGATAATTCCTTAACAGTACATCATTGTCTTCTATATTGAAGTCAACTCGAATCCTTGGACGACGATTTGAAGGTCCCTTCACTTTTTCTTAGATTACGACATTCTTTCTGATGGCCCAACGGCATTCCAACTGAAGTACGGCAAAGTGGGTGAAACGGTCTACCATAAATGGACGTGCGTCTCGGAGCTTACAGACGTCTATTGCATGCGTGTCCATTCATGTACCGTATATGACGGTCAGGGTGGTCCTCCTGTAACCGTACTCGACGTCAATGGGTAGGTCTCAGCACGAAAACCCTGCGTTAGAAACTTCTAATTGCTTTTTGCAGCTGCTCCGTGGATGGCGTAATTTTACAGAATCTCGACTATATAGATGATTTAACCGCGCTGGTAAAACCTGCTCAGGTAAGTATATTCAGCAAATTTAAGGAGTTCAGATTTCTAATAGCAGACAAATTCCAATGGTTTTTTAAGGTGTTCAAATTTGCTGACAAAGCTGGGCTTTATTTCAACTGTCAAATTGAACAGAGGTGTCGCCCTGTGTTCGGACGTGAATGAGGCTCATTAGTTCTGCTTCTCACAATCAAGGACAAGCAGTATGGATGCAGTAATGCGGTGAGTCTTTATCCGCTTTTTGCATACCTTATGCTCACCTAGTAATGTTTATGAGTCGGGTTAGGCCAGTGGTTAGAGGCGTTGCTAAAAGATTTTCACTTGAACGAGATCTATCCCATTCAACGCAATAGCTGTAGGGCTGACCTCTATAGAAGGATGGGTAGAAGTGGAAGCAGGAAGGCATGGCTGTTTTTTGGAGTATCGCATTTGACTCACATCTAAAATCGTATTGGCAATTGAACTTGAGTTTTGCCTTTATAATGGCTTGCGTGGGCCACCCATTGTGAAGGCCAGCGTGTTTAATTCTTACAGGCAAGTCTGGCACCTAATAAGCGTTCTCCATACAATGAAAGGATTAGCTGGGCTTAGCGTAATTCGATACAGGATCCGATCCACGAACCAAGCGTTTTATGGCCACTTACACACTTCCACATTCGGCATTATAAAGAGAACAAATATGGGACTGAAAAAAATCACATGTCTTCCTTAGAGTGTCTTTGAAAACATCAGATAAGTGGGCAATAAGCTGGAGATAAGATCTGAAAAACTTCGCTTGTCATTCTGATCCATTTCTAAGAATCCCATTCACATTGTTCCAGAACTCGTGTTCAAAACAGGGTGAGCCGATTTTCAGGAAAAAGTCGGCGAAATCAACCCCCTCCTTCTACCCAAGAACCTCACATCCCTCTTTCCGCTTTTGAAGTGGTACTCGCATACCATTCTTACTCTCCTAATAACATAGTTGGCATCCAGTGATACACGCAGTTCGACCCATTATTATTACCTTTCCTCCAGAAAACCAAGACGTTTCTAAAGTAATCGTTGACGCTAACTCATCCTTGAGGGCGTCCCTCTTTCGTTTGAAGGCAAAAATCAGAATCAAATTGTTGTGATAATCCAACTCGAATATAAAAATAAGGATGGAAAGGTAGTGGTAAAAAAAGGAAAAGAAGTTGTCAAACGCCCAATGTATGATCCCTTTGCTCTCCGCTTTGGAGAAGTCTAGGAACCAAATAGCGAGATTGATAAGTAATATAAATCGCGTAGAGGGAAAAGAAGCTCATGATCGAGCTAGCATACTAGATAAACATCAGGGCCAAAGATACCAATTTCGATGGTGGCCGGGCACGGACTCTTCTTTATAGGCTAGGTGGATCTGGGCCCTAACCAGGAAAGTCTTTCAGGATATGGAGCGCTTTTTCAAAATGGTTTGTTGCATTTATAAGGGACGTGCGTGGAGCATAAATCTGATGATCATTTTTTTTTTCTGAGCGGCCCTGGGATTGCTAGAAAAAGGGCGCAAAATTTCTGAGAAGTAAAACTTTTCCATTTTCGATAAATTCTACAGTATTTGTAGAGTTGAATAGTTGCATTTCGGAAGCTTTTTGTTCACCGAATAAGATTAGACACATAGGAGCCCAAAAAGTGGAAATCAGAAAAATGCAAAAATTTGCTCCCAGGGGATCGAACCGCAAATCATGCTTCCGACATTTTTTAAGCATCCTTAGAGCCGCTCAAAAAATTCTGTCTGGTTTATGCTCCTGCGCTTGTCTTAAGAACATGCAGAGAATCGTTTGAAAAAGCGCTGTCTCATGTCCTGAAAAAAAAAGAATTTCCTGGTAAGCGCCTAGCGTCCTACTCGCGCGTTTGGGACCGCGAAAGTTGGGTAACCACTGCGCTGGCGGACCAAACACCTCTCTCCACGGGGAGGGACTTCTTCAATAAGGCTGATCAAAATTTTGCTTTCAATATCCCACTGGAAGCCTAGATCTACTTTTGTCGTGAAGCATAAGTTCAACGCTACAGTAGCGCAAAGTGTTCGACAAACGGTTTTTCCGTGCTTCGCTTTTTTTTGCGAAAAATTAATGGTGAGATCAAAAAAAATTTCTTATTGAAGCATCGTGCTTCTCTTAAAATCAATGGTGGCCTCGAAAATTTTTCTTTTGAACATCCTGATTCTTTAAGGCTTGAGGATATAAAAACACTAGAAAACATAGTATATCAATCTTTGGAGGGCGTTGCTCAAGCGAGAAAAAATAATGCACTAAAAATCGTTTCGGCGAACACTTTTGACCGCTACTGTATCCGTGGAAGCACTGGATCTTATAGTGAAACGCATAAATGGGAAAATCCATGAACAACGAATCATCCCATTCATCTGTCCACAGTCCACCTCTTCGGAGCTCCATATGGGGAACGTCAGGGCTCGTCAAAATAGGTGAAAGGGGGTTATGAAAAAGATCTCACCAATGTCAAGGCTGGGATAGAAGATACCTCGGTAAGAAGGCAGCGGTGCACCCTATGATGGCAAGGGAGTAATGCAAAGAAGACGAAATTAAGAAAGAACGATCTCTTCCCGACATTATTTATTTGCTAGGTTCCACTGAATAAAATACAATCATTTTAATAAAAAAGGGAGGCAAACCGCGTTTATGGGGCAGTTCCGGGGCATGGAAGCAGTCAATACTTGCTTTGAAGCGAACAAGCGTGCGAACCCGTGGGTAATGTAGAGCACAGGACATGGAAACCTCAAGAGCATGCTGCTTTGCCGAAAATCATTTCGAAATGGCCGATGAAATTTGATACCCATCCAAGGTTTCTCGTCTTGAAAGGAATTCCCCTCATTTCTCATCAATGCGCTGAGCATTTCCTTTATGTTGCTTCACTCACATCATCGGAATACCCATCGAGTTTCGAGGCCAGGGTCAACCGTCGCGTTCGCACTTTTCCAAAAATTTTGCTACATCGGAAAAAAGCCAACCAATTTTGTCTTTTTACCTCTACTTTCATGAAACTTTCGTCACTCCTCGTTGCATATAACCACTGCTCACACCTTTTCCGGAGGTAGTTCACCTTGCTCAATCACAAAATTGGCCCCCTTTCCCAAAATCACAAGTGTGATCACGTTGTCCAATAGTGCAAACCGACGGTTGACCCACGGTGAGACCTATGTTCTCTCTGTGGGTCACCGTCACGTTCACCTTCACCTCCTCAGGGAAACTTCGTCCTTGAAAAAATCTGGAAAGAGGAGAGGGCGCGTTCAGTATTAAGGGGGGGGGGGTATCTAAGATTTTTAAAAGGGCTCCTATTCAAAAAAGTGGGCGCTATTTCTTCGAAATCCATGGGAAAAGATGACTTTTTTGGAAAAGGAAGAATATTTTTACGAGTTGATGTTCATTTCCAAAATTTTGTGGTATTCGTCTTTCTCACACATTTTCATTTCCTCCGTCCCGGTTTAGCAATCCATGGGAAGGAAGGTAGTATTCAGGTAAGAGTATTTGAACGTTTGTGTAGGAAGTCCAAAATGGTAGAAAAATAGACCCCTGCAAAGTTGGAGAATCATGCTGATGCTGAAACGTGACCCAGAGTTGATCCGCTAGCCGATTTCCTCTGACACAGTTTATTCGCTAGGGCGCAATATACGACCCTGAGGCATTAAGAAGTGCGGGTTGCCCTTGAGGCGACGCACGACTTCGATTTGAACCGCGCAGTAATGAAGGAATCAGAACTTTAACGGAAACTGGAAGTCATTAAGGTGTTGAATAGTCAATCTGAGATGTGGATGTGGTTGTGGCTCGCGTTACTGGTCGTTCTTATTGGTCTCTGGTCTCATAAGTCTTGCAACACTGGCCAAATTTTGTATTTAAATATTTTCGAGACCTTTTTGTTTTCTTCATTTCATCCGTTACATAGTACTATACTGCATTTTCATGGATCTTGCATCCTATTCGCATGCACTTGAGCTGTTCGATGGCTCTCTTATAGAAAGTCTACTGATTCTGATCAAAGAAAGATCAGATGTCGATTTTGACGTCATGATGGTTAGGAAGATTTTTGTTTCTCTAGGTGGTGCAGGGCTGGAGAGGAAAGCAAGTGGGCATCCTTTGGGACGAGGAGAGAGTTATAAGGTAAACACGGAAAAACTCTCCGGCCGATCCAAAATTTTCTAGATTTCCTGACTAAGAGGCTGTTAACGATGTCATAAAAAGTTTATTCTTGCTTTTCTTTCATTTCGCACGTTGCAGTCGAGCTGTGGATGGTTGACTTCCGCCTGACTGCGACATCTACACGTAGGGGTTTCCAGAGCCAACCCTCCCTCTCGTGTTCCACCAAAAATCCGAGAAGGCCCTACTTGGACGAGGTTGAACTTAAGCAATAAGATCTCCCGAAGCGTTTGAGCTGGACTACCGCCGCTTGTTCATTTGTTAGTAAACTGTACCCACTCCTCATCTTCGGCAAATGTGATGGATGGTCAATCGTAGAATCCCTAGTAAGTCGACTTGAACATAACGGTGTCAGATCGTGTTTGGAGCTGAATCGGGCTCAAGGCACGTGGGGACCAAACTCTACATTTTCGGATCTTCACAAGTCTTTGGAGATGCCACAGTGCTGTCTCCTTGTCGCATCGGAATTGCTCTAGCAAATGATCGATACTCTATCCAGATCCCTTTTCAACAGGCGTCAGGTAGAGCATCGTGATTGTCAGTCACAGGGTGGTTGGAGTGTGGATTATCTTCAAATAAAAAAGTCAACGCTTAGCAGAGCCTTGTACACCCGCGAAATAAGAAGCGTTTATATCTCCATTCTGGCTAATCCTTGGTGTAGCACGACTTGCGGAACATTCCAAGCAGTACTCGTAAAAATTTGGCACGAAGAGCTTTTCGCGAAATCGGTGTAATATCCATAACAAGTAGCGAGACAACGAGCTGGACGGTTGGCTGAAATTGCAAAGGTTGATACTACGTCAACAAATATGTTGCAGACATTCTCTGGAGTTCTCCCACAAATTTCCTCTAGCATCCCCAGGTAATTATGTTGGGGCAAGGACCGTATGGACGAACCTAATTAAAAGGAACTTGTGCATATCAGTCATGCCCTTCATCCCACAAGACACTGGCCTTAAAAAATGGAACTGAGCCGAGCTGAGAGTGTTTTGTAGCGCGTGCAGGAAAGGGATACTGTCTGTTCAATATCTAACTAACGGGCCAAAATACTGGTGAGACAAAATTTTCTGGAGTGCGCCTGGCTTTTTGTAAACTTTTACAGGCGCTCATGTCTTTGGAAAGGGAGGACATTCAGAGAGGACCTATGACAAGCAGCTAGGGTAAGCTCAGAGAATTAAAGAACGCTGGAGAATAAAATCTGCTCACATAATCCTCAGAAGTCCTCCCTCCCTGAACTGCAAGTCAAAGCGCATGTAAGTAAGGCTCCCCACAATCGATGCCCGCCGCGCCCTCGCCTACGAAATGAGCGAATTTCAAACCGTAATGCGTATATGCATATCACGCGATCTTGGCAAGACTGTAATGGGTGCATTGAACCTTGCCAGGCGTGCACTTGCTGATGTTTAGACTTGAGGTCTAGCTATAATGTAACTAGCTTCACAACTATATAAGGTTATCATCGAGGGTCAATATGAGGTTGCAAAGGCAGGGTCACTGCCCGATTGGACGACAAAGTCCAATCAGTGGGGTGGGGGATCGTATTTAGGGGTGCGAGGTGACGCGTCAGATGAAGTAGAGCCGAAATTAGGTGTGTAGATTTGCGGCTTTGAGTGTTAAGTGCGAAAATTTTGCCGTTTCACATTCGATAGTACCTGCCTCGCCCTCCCCCGCTCGATGGCAATTTTGGAGGGAAAAGTGGGCGGAGTTGGGCTGTGTCGACTGGTCTCAGAATCAAATACTATAGAATCGCTCCCATGATGGCGATGGCAGGCGAGGGTGGTGGAGGATGGTCGTGAACCCTGAGGGGGGGTCGTATCGAGGCCCTCTAGAAGGGAGGGGGGTCGTAAATTTTTCGAAATTGGTCCAACGTGATGGTTGACCCTGGTTGCAAGTTGGTATCCTTAAAGCCGCATCCTTTCTTTAGTGATTTGAAAATATCAGATAATTCCTTAACAGTACATCATTGTCTTCTATATTGAAGTCAACTCGAATCCTTGGACGACGATTTGAAGGTCCCTTCACTTTTTCTTAGATTACGACATTCTTTCTGATGGCCCAACGGCATTCCAACTGAAGTACGGCAAAGTGGGTGAAACGGTCTACCATAAATGGACGTGCGTCTCGGAGCTTACAGACGTCTATTGCATGCGTGTCCATTCATGTACCGTATATGACGGTCAGGGTGGTCCTCCTGTAACCGTACTCGACGTCAATGGGTAGGTCTCAGCACGAAAACCCTGCGTTAGAAACTTCTAATTGCTTTTTGCAGCTGCTCCGTGGATGGCGTAATTTTACAGAATCTCGACTATATAGATGATTTAACCGCGCTGGTAAAACCTGCTCAGGTAAGTATATTCAGCAAATTTAAGGAGTTCAGATTTCTAATAGCAGACAAATTCCAATGGTTTTTTAAGGTGTTCAAATTTGCTGACAAAGCTGGGCTTTATTTCAACTGTCAAATTGAACAGAGGTGTCGCCCTGTGTTCGGACGTGAATGAGGCTCATTAGTTCTGCTTCTCACAATCAAGGACAAGCAGTATGGATGCAGTAATGCGGTGAGTCTTTATCCGCTTTTTGCATACCTTATGCTCACCTAGTAATGTTTATGAGTCGGGTTAGGCCAGTGGTTAGAGGCGTTGCTAAAAGATTTTCACTTGAACGAGATCTATCCCATTCAACGCAATAGCTGTAGGGCTGACCTCTATAGAAGGATGGGTAGAAGTGGAAGCAGGAAGGCATGGCTGTTTTTTGGAGTATCGCATTTGACTCACATCTAAAATCGTATTGGCAATTGAACTTGAGTTTTGCCTTTATAATGGCTTGCGTGGGCCACCCATTGTGAAGGCCAGCGTGTTTAATTCTTACAGGCAAGTCTGGCACCTAATAAGCGTTCTCCATACAATGAAAGGATTAGCTGGGCTTAGCGTAATTCGATACAGGATCCGATCCACGAACCAAGCGTTTTATGGCCACTTACACACTTCCACATTCGGCATTATAAAGAGAACAAATATGGGACTGAAAAAAATCACATGTCTTCCTTAGAGTGTCTTTGAAAACATCAGATAAGTGGGCAATAAGCTGGAGATAAGATCTGAAAAACTTCGCTTGTCATTCTGATCCATTTCTAAGAATCCCATTCACATTGTTCCAGAACTCGTGTTCAAAACAGGGTGAGCCGATTTTCAGGAAAAAGTCGGCGAAATCAACCCCCTCCTTCTACCCAAGAACCTCACATCCCTCTTTCCGCTTTTGAAGTGGTACTCGCATACCATTCTTACTCTCCTAATAACATAGTTGGCATCCAGTGATACACGCAGTTCGACCCATTATTATTACCTTTCCTCCAGAAAACCAAGACGTTTCTAAAGTAATCGTTGACGCTAACTCATCCTTGAGGGCGTCCCTCTTTCGTTTGAAGGCAAAAATCAGAATCAAATTGTTGTGATAATCCAACTCGAATATAAAAATAAGGATGGAAAGGTAGTGGTAAAAAAAGGAAAAGAAGTTGTCAAACGCCCAATGTATGATCCCTTTGCTCTCCGCTTTGGAGAAGTCTAGGAACCAAATAGCGAGATTGATAAGTAATATAAATCGCGTAGAGGGAAAAGAAGCTCATGATCGAGCTAGCATACTAGATAAACATCAGGGCCAAAGATACCAATTTCGATGGTGGCCGGGCACGGACTCTTCTTTATAGGCTAGGTGGATCTGGGCCCTAACCAGGAAAGTCTTTCAGGATATGGAGCGCTTTTTCAAAATGGTTTGTTGCATTTATAAGGGACGTGCGTGGAGCATAAATCTGATGATCATTTTTTTTTTCTGAGCGGCCCTGGGATTGCTAGAAAAAGGGCGCAAAATTTCTGAGAAGTAAAACTTTTCCATTTTCGATAAATTCTACAGTATTTGTAGAGTTGAATAGTTGCATTTCGGAAGCTTTTTGTTCACCGAATAAGATTAGACACATAGGAGCCCAAAAAGTGGAAATCAGAAAAATGCAAAAATTTGCTCCCAGGGGATCGAACCGCAAATCATGCTTCCGACATTTTTTAAGCATCCTTAGAGCCGCTCAAAAAATTCTGTCTGGTTTATGCTCCTGCGCTTGTCTTAAGAACATGCAGAGAATCGTTTGAAAAAGCGCTGTCTCATGTCCTGAAAAAAAAAGAATTTCCTGGTAAGCGCCTAGCGTCCTACTCGCGCGTTTGGGACCGCGAAAGTTGGGTAACCACTGCGCTGGCGGACCAAACACCTCTCTCCACGGGGAGGGACTTCTTCAATAAGGCTGATCAAAATTTTGCTTTCAATATCCCACTGGAAGCCTAGATCTACTTTTGTCGTGAAGCATAAGTTCAACGCTACAGTAGCGCAAAGTGTTCGACAAACGGTTTTTCCGTGCTTCGCTTTTTTTTACGAAAAATTAAAGGATAATATAAAGCATTTGCCGTTGATCATCCATGCGGCACGCATTCTACTTCCATTTGTACATTCGTAGTGGCGTTTGAATGCGATGTGGCCTATACAATGACTTGCGGGGGCCAGCCGATGTACAAGTCAGTGTTTTTATCCTCCCAGACAAGTCTGGTACCAATTAACCGACCCCGGAGGGATGGAAGGCTTGGTTGGCCCGGGCGACTCACGACCCAGGATTTGATCCCGGACCGCTCGCGTGGTAAGCGTGCCACTTGCCACTACACCACTTCCGCTTCCGCCCGGCCCCATATCATACTGCATATAATAAATGACAGTAGGAATCATACATGAAAATAATTACCTCAAGGTCTTCATTATATCAAGTACTGATTCTGAAGAATCGCAGGAATAGGGGAGTGATGGCCTCAAAGGGTCCCTTTATATTTTATGCTATTGTTAATTTATGCCGTAATATGTGGTGCTAAGTCTGTGTTGCAGACGTACCCCTTTGCTGCACTCAACGTGTACATTCGATTTCACCCGATTTCGTTTATTTTCAGGCCACATTTTAACTAAATGAAACTGCAATCCCGGATGCAATATTAGGTTGTCCGAAATTAATGCCGGTTTTTGACCTCCGTCTTCAAAGCAACATATCTCAGCTCAAACTCAACATTTTCAGTAATTCAAAAAAGTGTTGGAAACTACTCATTTTTCTTAACAGGAAGCGTACTGAATAGATTAATTAATAACTTCATATACAGGAACAATAG